TCCGATCTAGTTTTCAAATCGGGAGCCCTTTGCCTCTTCGTTAAGTTTTCACAACTCAAATTGGTCCCTCCTGAGATGTTTGAGGTATTCCCCGGGCCTTCTTGTGATTGTTACACGATTTCGGCACGCCGAGGCCTATTTTCAAGCTTGAGTGTGAAAAAAGTACCTTTTCCGACCTAGTATTCAAACCGGAAGTCCCACTTCATTAAGTTTCCACAACTTACATTGGTTTCTCCCGAGGTGTTGGAGGTGTTCCACGGGCCTTCTTGGGACTGTTATAGGATTTTTTTGGCCCCCGATGGCCTATTTTCAAACTTAAGTGTTTAGGAAGTGCATTTTTTGACTTAGTTTTCAAACCGAGAGTCCCATGCGAGTTCCGTAAGTTTCCACAACTCACGTTGGTCCCTCCCTAGGTGTTTGAGGTGTTCCCTGAATCTTCTCCTGACTGTCACAAGATTTTGGACCCCCGATGGACTATTTTCAAGCTTAGGTGCGAGAAAAGTGCTGTTTCGGACTTAGTTTTCAAATCGGGAGTCCTGTGCTAGTTCCGTAATATTTCACAACTTACATCGGTCCCTCCCGGGGTGTTTGACGTGTTCCCCGGGCCTCGTGACTGCTACACGATTTTGGCCCCCGACGGCTTATTTTCGAGCTTAAGTGTGAAAAAGTACATATTTTGATTTAGTTCTCAAACCCAGAGTCTCGTGCTAGTTCCGTAAGTCTCTGCAACTTACCTTGGACCCTCCCGAGGTGTTTGGGGCATTTCCCGGTTCTTCTCGTGACTGTTATACGGTTTTTGCCCCCCCGATGTCCTCTTTCCAAGCTTAAGTGTGGAAAAAGTGTCTCTTTCCAACTTAGTTTTCAAACCGGGAGTCCCCGTGCTAGTTCCGTAAGTTTTCACAACTTGCGTTGGTCACTCCCGAGGTGTTTAAGGTGTTCCCAGCCCTTTTTGCGACTGTTACATGATAGTGGCCCACCGATGGCCTACTTCCAAGCTTAAGTGTTAGAAAAGTGTGTTTTCCGACCTACTTTTCAAATCGGGAGTCCCGTGCCTGTTCGTTAAGTTTTCACAACTCAAATTAGTCCCTCCTGAGATGTTCGAGGTGTTCCCCGGGCCTTCTCGTGATTGTTATACGATTCCGGCCCGCCGAGGCTTGTTTTCAAGCTTCAATGTGAAAAAAGTACATTTTCCAACCTAGTTTTCAAACCGGAAGCCCCGCGCTAGTTCCGTAAGTTTCCAGAACTTACATTGGTTTCTTCCGAGGTGTTGGAGGTGTTCCACGGGCCTTCTCGGGGCTGTTGCAGGATTTTTGTGGCCCCCGATGCCCTATTTTCAAACTTAAGTGTTTAGGAAGTACATTTTTTGACTTAGTTTCCAAACCGGGAGTCCTATGCGAGTTCCGTAAGCTTCCACAACTCATTTCCACAACTCACGTTGGTCCCTCTCTAGGTGTTTGAGGTGTTCCCTGGATCTTCTTTTGACTGTCACACGATTTTGGCTCGCCGATGGACTATTTTCGAACTTAGGTGCGAGAAAAGTGCCGTTTCGGACCTAGTTTTCAAATCGGGAGTCCCGTGATAGTTCTGTAAGTTTTCACAACTTATATCGGTCCTTCCCGGGGTGTTTGACGTGTTCTTCGGGCCTTCTCGTGACTGTTACACGATTTTGGCCCCCGATGGCTTATTTTCGAGCTTAAGTGTGAAAAAAGTGCATTTTTTGATTTAGTTCTCAAACCCAGAGTCCCGTGCTAGTTCCGTAAGTCTCCGCAACTTACCTTGGACCCTCCCGAGGTGTTTGGGGCATATCCCGGTCCTTCTCGTGACTGTTCCCCGGTTTTGGCCCCCCCGGGTGTCCTCTTTCTAGGCTTAAGTGTGGAAAAAGTGTCTCTTTCCAACTTAGTTTTCAAACCGGGAGTCCCCGTGCTAGTTCCGTATATTTTCACAACTCGCGTTGGTCACTCCCGAGGTTTTTGAGGTGTTCCCGGCCCTTCTTGCGACTGTTCATGATTTTGGGCCCCCGATGGCCCACTTCTAAGCTTAAGTGTTAGAAAATTGTATTTTCCGATCTAGTTTACAAATCGGGAGTCCCGTGCCTGTTCTTTAAGTTTTCACAACTCAAATTGGTCCCTCCTAAGATGTTCAAGGTGTTCCCCGGGCCTTTTTGTGATTGTTACACGATTTCGGCCCGCCGAGGCCTATTTTCAAGCTTAAGTATGAAAAAAGTACTTTTTTCGACCTAGTTTTCAAACGAGAAGTCTCGCGCTAGTTCCGTACGTTTCCACAAGTTACAATGGTTTTTGCCGAGGTGTTGGAGGTGTTCCACGAGCCTTCTCGGGACTGTTAGAGGATTTTTTGGCCCCCGATGGCCTATTTTCAAACTTAGGTGTTTAGGAAGTGCATTTTTTGACATAGTTTCCAAATCGGGAGTCCCATGCGAGTTCCGTAAGTTTCCACAACTCACGTTGGTCCCTCTCTAGGTGTTTGAGGTGTTCCCTGGATCTTCTCTTGACTGTCACACGATTTTGGCTCGCCGATGGACTATTTTCGAACTTAGGTGCGAGAAAAGTGCCGTTTCGGACCTAGTTTTCAAACCGGGAGTCCCGTGATAGTTCTGTAAGTTTTCACAACTTATATCGGTCCTTCCCGGGGTGTTTGACGTGTTCTTCGGGCCTTCTCGTGACTGTTACACGATTTTAGCCCCCGATGGCTTATTTTCGAACTTAAGTGTGAAAAAGTGCATTTTTTGATTTAGTTCTCAAACCCAGAGTCCCGTGCTAGTTCCGTAAGTCTCCGCAACTTACCTTGAACCCTCCCAAGGTGTTTGGGGCATTTCCCGGTCCTTCTCGTGACTGTTAATCGGTTTTGGCCCCCTGGTTGTCCAATTTCCAAGCTTAAGTGTGAAAAAAGTGTCTCTTTCCAACTTAGTTTTCAAATCGGGAGTCCCTGTGCTAGTTCCGTAAGTTTTCACAACTCGCGTTGGTCACTCCGGAGGTGTTTGAGGTGTTCCGGGCCCTTCTTGCGACTGTTACATGATTTTGGCCCCCCGATGGCTTACTTCCAAACTTAAGTGTTAGAAAAGTGTATTTTCCGACCTAGTTTTCAAATCGGGAGTCTCGTGCCTGTTCGTTAAGTTTTCACAACTCAAATCGGTCCCTCCTGAGATGTTCGAGGTGTTTCCCGGGCCTTCTCATGATTGTTAAACGATTTCGGCGCGCCAAGGCCTATTTCCAAGCTTAAGTGTGAAAAAAGTACATTTTCCGACCTAGTTTTCAAACCGTAAGTCCCACACTACTTCCGTAAGTTTCCACAACTTACATTGGTTTCTTCCGAGGTGTTGTAGGTGTTCCACGGCCCTTGTCGGGACTGTTACAGGATTTTTTTGGACCCGATGGCCTATTTTCAAACTTAAGTGTTTAGGAAGTGCATTTTTTGACTTAGTTTCCAAACCGGGAGTCCCATGCGAGTTCCGTAAGTTTCCGCAACTCACGTTGGTCCCTTCCTAGGTGTTTGAGGTGTTCTCCGGACCTTCTCTTGACTGTCACACGATTTTGGCCTCCCGATGGACTATTTTCAAGCTTAGGTGCGAGAAAAGAGCCGTTTCGGACTTAGTTTCCAAACCGGGAGTCCCCATTAAGATGAAAAGACTTATAATGATCCAAACTCAACCTCGTAGAGGTTTACAGCAACTCTACTTGGAACTACTCCTATGAAACGAAGTGCAGTGCAAGAATTTTAAAGTGCAGTAATGTAAAGAACTGTAAATGTAAAAAACTGTAAATGTAAAGCTGGAAAGGAAAATAAGTATAAATGACTGGTTTTTTGGATCTGAGTCTGGGGGCTTTTTCTGAAGCCTTCTCTACTATTTATATTGCTCCAAGATGACCATCGAATTGCATTTCCAACCGTCGAACTGCTCCTCCATGATCATCGATCATTTTGCCCCAATATTAGCTCCATTACGCCATTATTTGCAGTTAAGCTTCCCTCATAAATTTGAATATGAAATGCGAGTAACCGTTGAAGTTACGTCACTTTGTATCTCTTTGTTGATCCGCTATTACTCAGGATCGAGGACCTGAATAGTCTTCTTATATTACCCTTATTTCGTCACGCGTCGAATTATAATTGGCTTATACAAAATATGTAGCCAACAAATATGTATTTGAGATGCATATAGTTGAGCTGAAGATGGCGTGTTGTGAAATTTAAACAATAATAAATTTAAATCATACAATTTTTAAATAAAATTCTGAATTTGTAATATTAATAAAATTTCAAGTCACTAGATCACAAGTTCAAATGATATCATCCCCTCGCCTAATGCATCAAACACTTCACATTTTTTTATATAATAATTTAAATATGTGATTTCAATTTTCAAGTTAAATAAATTACAAATGATTAAAACCCAACAAATGTTGATATGTTGTTCATATCCTTAATTAAAACATTTAATAAATAATATTTTAAAAAAAACTCTTATTTTTTCATAATCTTTTTATTGAATTATATTTTTTTTTTTGTTAAAAAGGTTAATTTACGTTGTTAATAAGAATTAATTAAACATTTATGCGGAAAAAAGAAAACTTACTAAGAAATTTTTTTTTAAATAAAGGGCAAATTACAAACACACCGTCGAGATTTGGTAAAAGTATAAATTTTTCCTGAAGTTTGAGAAATTATAAATTATTTCTTGGATGTCAAATTTTCATAACAAATTAGGAGAAATTAGGAAAAAATCTATATGAAAATAAAAATTTCAAAGGACAATTTATTATGAAAATATAAACCTCAAGAAACGAGATGTAATTTCTCAAATCTCATGAAGAATATGTATTTTCACCAAACATCGAGGGGCTCTTTGTAATTTGTCCCAGAATAAATAGTTAATAGTGAAGACAAAGATGCCATATATCCGTAATTAGAACAAGAGATAAGGGCAATTCTGGTAATCAAAAGTCTTCAAAAAAAACCAGCTTTATATCCGTGTCAAATCTCTCTCCTCTCTCTCTCTCTCTCTCTATCATCTTTCTCTGTGTGCTTACTCACCCAGCGATCTTTTTTGCCTTTTGTGATTTTCCAATCAAGAGCAGACCGAGAAAATGCTAGCAGTGTTCCACAAATCGATTGCTAAGAGCCCCGAGGCTCTGCAGAGTCCTCACTCTGAGGCAGTCAGTTCTCTGAAAGATGGGTTTCTGGCTCGACACTTCTCGTCCGTATACCCTGGTTCAGTCACCATCAACCTTGGTGCTTCTGGCCTCATGGCCTATTCCATGGACAAGCAAAACCCTCTTCTTCCAAGATTGTTTTCTATTACGGACGACATATTCTGCATGTTTCAAGGCCACATTGAGAATGTTGCTCCTCTTAAGCAGCAGTATGGATTAAACAAGACTGCAAATGAAGTCATCATTGTTATGGAAGCTTACAGGACTTTGAGAGATAGAGGTCCATATCCTGCAGATCAAGTTTTGAGGGATCTGCATGGGAAGTTTGCATTTATTCTCTATGATAGCTCTTCAAAAACTACTTTTGTAGCTGCTGATGCCGATGGGAGTGTTCCGTTCTTCTGGGGAGCTGATGCTGAAGGGAATATTGTGCTTTCAGATGATGTAGAGATTGTGAAGAAGGGCTGCTGCAAATCCTTTGCACCATTTCCAAAAGGCTGCTTCTTTACAACCTCTGGGGGCCTGAGGAGTTTCGAGCACCCCCATTCCTTTTTATTATTAGAGACCTGACTTGCACCTCCTCGGCCAACCCATTTCCCTTTTCTTCTTATTATTATATACACCTTTTCTATTCTCCATTATGCTCCACTCACCACTATCATCACATTTTCCCACTTTTTCAAACCCACTTTAATCATATCCCTCCTTTCCCTTACTTTCTTCCACCCACGATTTCACCATTTTCTTTTCTTTTCGGGACTCCTCGTTTCAAAACTAAGTCAAAAATTGCACTTTTTTCACACTTAATCTTGAAAATAGGCCATCAGGGGGCCAAAATGGTGTAACAGTCACGAGAAGGCCCAGGGAATACCTCAAACACCTTGGGAAGGACCAATGTAAGTTGTGGAAACTTATGGAACTGGCACGAGATTCCGGTTTGAAAACTAAGTCAAAAAATATAATTTTTTCACACTTAAGGTTGAAAATAAGCCATTGGAGGCTAAAATCGTGTAACAGTCATGAGAAGGGCCGGGGAACACCTCAAAGGAACTAGCACGGGACTCCCGATTTGAAAAATAAGTCCAAAAAGGTAATTTTCTCAAACTTAATTGTGAAAATAGGCCATCGCGGGCCAAAATCGTGTAATAGTCACGAGAAGGCCCATGGAACACATCAAACAACTTGGAAGGGACCAATGTAAGTTGTGGAAACTTACGGAACTAGCACGGGACTTCCGGTTTGAAAACTAATTTGAAAAAGACATTTTTCTCGCACTTAAGCTACAAAATAGGCAATCGGGGACCAAAGTCGTGTAACAGTCACGAGTAGGCCCAATGAACGCCTTGAACACCTTGGGAGGGGACCGATGTAAGTTGTGAAAACTTACAGAACTAGCACGGGACTTCCGGTTTGAAAACTATATCAAAAAATGCATGTTTTTCACATTTAAGCTTGTAAATAGGCCATCGGGGGCCAAAATCGGGTAACTATCACGAGAAGGCCCGGGGAACACCGCGAACACCTCGGGATGGACTAATGCAAGTTGTGAAAGCTTACGGAACTTGCACGGGACTCCTGGTTTGAAAATTAAGTCAAAAAATGCGCTGTTTCCCACTTAATCATGAAAATAGGCCATTGGGCACCAAAGTTGTGTAACAATCACGAGAAAGCCCTGAGAATACCTTGAACACCTCCAGGGAGACCAATGTAAGTTGTGAAAACTTACAGAACTAGCGCAGGACTACCGGTTTGAAAACTGAGTTGAAAAAGGCAATTTTTTCACACTTAAGCTTGAAAATAGGCATCGGGGGCCAAAATCGTGTAACAGTCACGAGATGGCCCGGGAAACACATCAAACACCTTAGGACGGACCAATGTAAGTTGTGGAAATTTACGGAACTAGCACGACGCTTCCGGTTTGAAAACAAAGTCGAAAAAGCCACTTTTTTCACACTTAAGCTTTAAAATAGGCCATCGGGGGCCAAAATCGTATAACAGGCGCGAGACTTTCCGGGGAACACCTCAAACACCTCTAGAGGGACCAATGTAAGTTGTGGAAAGTTACAGAACAAGCATGGGACTCCCAGTTTGAAAACTAAGTCAACAAATGCATGTTTTTCACTTAAAGCTTGAAAATAGGCCATCGAGGGCCAAATTTTTGTAGCAGTCACGAGAAGGCCTAGGGAACACCTCAGACACATCGAGAGGGACTAATGTAAGTTTTGAAAACTTACAGAACAGGCGCAGGACTCCCGGTTTGAAAACTGAGTTGAAAAAGACACTTTTTTTCATACTTAACCTTGAAAATAGGCCATCGGGGAACGAAATCGATTAACAGTCAGGCGAAGTCCCGGGGAACACCTCAAACACCTCGGGAGAGACCAATGTAAGTTGTGGAAACTTATGAAACTGCCACTGGACTCCCCGATTTGAAAACTAAACCAAAACAAGCACTTTTTTCACACTTAAGGTTGAAAATAGGCCATCGATGGCCAAAATCGATTAACAGTCACGAGAAGGCTCGGGAAACACCTCAAACACCTCGGGAGGGACGAATATAAGTTTTGGAAACTTACGGAATTACCCCGGAACTTCCGGTTTGAAAACTAAGTCCAAAAAGTCACTTTTCTCGCATTTAAGCTTGAAAATTGGCCATCAGGGGCCAACATCATGTAACAATCATGAGAAGGCATAGGAAACACATCAAACACCTCGGAAGGGACCAATATAAGTTGTGGAAACTTACGAAACTAGCACGGGACTCCCGGTTTCAAAACTAAGTCAAAAGATGCATTTTTTTCACACTTAAGCTTGAAAATAGGCCATCGCGAGCCAAAATCGTGTAACAGTCTCGAGTAGGTGTGGGGAACACCTCAAATACCTCTAGAGGGACCAATATAAGTTGTGGAAAGTTACAGAACAAGCATGGGACTCCCAGTTTGAAAACTAAGTCAAAAAATGCATGTTTTTCACTTAAAGCTTGAAAATAGGCTATCGGGGGCCAAATTTTTGTAACAGTCACGAGAAGGCTCGGGGAACACCTCACACCTCGAGAGCGACCAATGTAAGTTGTGGGAACTCACCGAACTAGCATGGGGCTCCCGGTTTGAAAATTATGTCGGAAAAGTCACTTTTTTCACACTTAAGCTTAAAAATAGGGCATCGGGAGCCAAAATCGTGTAACAGTCACGGGAAGGCCCAGGAAACGCATCAAACACCTCGGGAAGGACCAATAGAAGTATTGGAAACTTACGGAACTAGCACGGGACTTCCGGTTTGAAATCTAAGTCAAAAAATACACTTTTTTTCACACTTAGGCTTGAAAATAAACCATCAGTGGCCAAATTCGTGTAACAGTTACGAGAAGGCCCAAGCAACACCTCAAACACCTTGGGGAGGACCAATGCAGGTTGTGAAAATTTCCGGAACTTGCACGGGACTTGCTGTTTCAAAACGAAGTCAAAAATTGCACTTTTTTCACACTTAATCTTGAAAATAGGCCATCAGGGGCCAAAATTGTGTAACAGTCACGAGAACCCTAGCGAAACCCCTCAAACACCTTGAGAGGGACCAATGTAAGTTGTGAAAACTTACGGAACTAGCACGGGACTCCCGGCTTGAAAACTAAGTCAAAAAAATGCACTTTTCAAACACTTAGGCTTGAAAATAGGCTATCAGGAGCCAAAACCGTGTAATAGTCACGAGTACCCCCGCGGAACACCCCAAATATCTCGAGATGGACCAATGTAAGTTTTGGAAACTTACAGAACTAGCACGGGAGTCCCGTTTTGAAAACTATGTCGAAAAAAACACTTTTTCACACTTAAGCTAAAAAATAGGCCATCGGGGCCAATATCGTGCAACAGTCAGGTGAAGGCCTGGGGAACACGTCAAAACCTCGGGAGGGACCAATGTAAGTTGTTGAAACTTACGGAACTAGCACGGGACTCTCGGTTTGAAAACTAAGTAAAAAAATACACTTTTCTCACACCTATGGTTGAAAGTAGGCTATCGGGGGCAAAAATCGTGTAACAGTCACAAGAAGCCCCGTGGAACACCTCAAACAGCTCGGAAGAGACCAATATAAGTTGTGAAAACTTACGAAAGTAGCACGGGGCTCCCGGTTTGAAATCTAAGTCCAAAAAGGCGCATCTCTTTACTTAAGATTGGAAATAGGCCATCGGGGTCAAAATCGTGTTACAGTCACGAGAAGGCCCAGGGAAATCATCAAACACCTCGAGAGGGATCAATGTAAGTTGTGGAAACTTATGAAACTAGCACGGGACTTCCGGTTTCAAGACTATGTCGAAAAAGACACTTTCTCCACACTTCAGCTTGAAAATAGCCCATCGGTGTCCAAAATCCTGTAACAATCACGAGAAGGCCCCCGGAACAACTCAAACACCTTGGGAGGGACCAATGTAAGTTGTGGAAACTTACGGAACTTGCACGGGACTTCCAATTTGAAAACTATGTCAATAAATGTACTTTTTTCACACTTAAGCTTGAAAATAGGCCATTGGGGGCCAAAATCTTGTAACAGTCCCGAGAAGGCCCGGGGAACACCTCAAACACCTCAGGAGGGAACAATGCAAGTCGTGGAAACTTACAGAATTAGTACGGGACTCCCGGTTTGAAAACTAAGTTGAAAAAGGAATTTTTCGAGAGAGACCTATGTAAGTTGTGGGAACTTGCCGAACTGGCACGGGACTCCCGGTTTGAAAACTAAGTCGAAAAAGGCACTTTTATCACACTTAAACTTCAAAATAAGCCATCGGAGACCAAAATCGTGTAACAGTGATGAGATGGCCTGGAGAACACCTCCAACACCTCGAGAGAGACTATTGTAAGTTGTGAAAACTTACGGAACTGGCACAGGACTCCCGATTTCAAAACTAAGTCAAAACATGCACGTTTCTAATAGTTAAAAAATGCACGGGATTCCGGTTTGAAAACTAAGTCAAAAAATGCACTTTTTTCACACTTAAGGTTGAAAATAGGCCATCGGAGGCCAAAATCGTATAACAGTCAAGAGAAGGCCCGGGGAACACCTCAAAAAATAAACATCGGGAGTGACCAATGTAAGTTGTGAAAACTTACGGAACTAGCACGGGACTCCCGGCTTGAAAACTAAGTCAAAAAAGCTCCTTGTGTCCTGCATCGGCTGATAGTTGTATGGAGGGTTCATCAGTTGTCACCATGAAGAGGAACATTATGCAAGTTGGGCTGAAAGCATTCGATGTGGTTGTTGACGAGGTTGATCGCAAGAAGATGTGGGTCGCGAAAAAGGGTAGATCTCTGCAAAGATCCCTTATGTTGGGATTTGAAGTTCCTTTGTTGGGGACCAATGTAAGTTGTGAAAACTTACGGAACTAGCACGAGACTTCTGGTTTGAAAACTAAGTCGAGAAAGGCACTTTTTTCACACTTAAGCTTGAAAATAGGTCATCGGGTGCCAAAATCGTGAAACAATCACGAGAAGGCCCAAAGAACACCTCGAACACCTCGGGAGGGACCAATGTAATTTGTGAAAACTTATAGAACTAGCACGAGACTCCCGGTTTGAAAACAATGTCAAAAAATGCACTTTTTCACACTTAAGCCTGTAAATAGGTTATCGGGGGCCAAAATCGTGTAACAGTAACGAGAATCTCCGGGAA